CATTTTAGTATACAAATGTCTTCAAGGACAAAAAGGATCGTGTTCAACGGTCCCTTAGGCTGGCCGCACACTAGAAGATTTTAAGGACGATTTGAAGCCCGATTTGCACCCCTGAAGGATCGGGGGGTGTGGCCCGATTCGCGGCTTGTCGCAAACTATTTTTTGTCCAAAAAATCCTCTATTGTGTGGTGTCATTACGATTATTTAACTGCTCCCGATCGAGACAAAACATGTTTGATATTTAGGACTCTTGATCAAGCTGCCTCTGACATGATACCCGCTATAGCCAATGAGAGCGAGCAAGCGTCACCTACCGGATGTTGCGTGCTTTTATAGCTGAAACTTGGCAGCTACAAACATGCCATGAAAGCAGAGAACATCACCCATATTCTTTTCTATAATTTGTTTTTCACTGTACAACAGAACGCGTGCCGGGAGAGCCAGCTGACAACATCGATTGTCCTCTATTTGTTTTTCTTCTCGAGTCACGTTTGACCTCGCGAGTGTCCGTGACATCTCATGTCACTGTGAAATCGTTCCTACTACAATCATCAAGTGTGTGTGGTCTCGTGGTCTGGTCTAATCATCTAGTGTGTGCATTCAGAGGATTATACGGCTAAAAATCGGTTGAACTGTCTTCATGTCTGTGGTCTCCCATGGTTTTAAAATCGGTTAAGATTTGAAAATCGTCTAGTGTGCAGCCAGCTTTAGTATTCTGAGTCTCACGCGCCCCCTGTTGGACATTTTTCACCTCACAGGAGATGCTCATTATATGATAGCATTAGCATATTTAATTTTCATTAGGCAGATTAAAATGTCTATAATTCACATAAACAAGCCAATAACTGAGGAAACGGTAACTGTGTCTCATTTTAAATGGTCAGTGTTTTATTCCAGTACTCACATGTCTGCATGTTTGTTGGGGATCATGTGGTTGTTGTAGGCCACGAAGGGAGGAACACTTTCTTCATCCTCAGGAACCTGCAACGGTCGACGGAAAAAAAAGAAATAATGTATAAAAATAACATAATATTATATTGTATTTTAAATCAAGTTTTTAATTTCCTGCAAATGTTAAAAGAAAAAAGAAACTGTCTGACCTCCCAGTAGATCTCGTCATCAAAGCAGTTTTCATCTGCAGGATCGCCCCAGATGGGCAGCTTCAGAACCAGGCCTGTTGGTGTAACAATACAGTCATGTCAACATGATAAATGTTGCATTTCCATTACAAACTCCAGGTGAAGATCAGGTGTATTTGTGTGAAGCCTGAACCCATAATGCAAAACCATTAGGATGACTGACTAGCTAATATCATCCTACGCTGTCCTCTCTAGTTTTCATGTTACAAACAACACACCTGTGCCACTACATGGCAAACAATCACAACAAAGCGCTTCAGATCCACAAGCTTTTCTGAAGTATTGTATTGTGTACTTAAACCGGATTAATATCAAAAGACTCTTACCAACAAATATGCCACCTCCAATTCCAAAACACAAGGCCACACACAGTCCTGCTGCCTGAAATCCGCCCTGGATAGTGGGTACACGTTTCGCAAAAGGCCCCGTAAAGTCAAATGTATTTTCCAACCTGAAATGGACAATGGTAATTATTAGAGTGAGCTAAATATTATTAATACCAATTATGAACAGTTCACCCAAAAATGGCATTCCAAGATATAAGTGAGTTTGTTTCTTTAGCAGAACATGTTTGTAGAAAAGTAGCGTTACATCATTTGCTCACCAGTTGATCCTCTGCAGTGAATGGGTGCCGTCAGAATGAACAGCTGATAAAAACATCACAATCATCCACACCACTCCAGTCTATCAATTAACAGCTTGTGAAGTGAAAATCATTGCTTCTGACTAAAATAGGTGTCCTCGATTTAGAAAATTGCTTTCTCCGGTGAAAAATATAGAAATGTGCACAGATCAAGCACCATTTTGGATTATGGACCGGTATTTTGGCCAGAAGTGATGGTTTCAAGTAAAAACACCTTGATGGAAGTTGGAATTGGTGGACTGTGTATTATTTGTGTTGTTTTTAATCAGCTGTTTGGACTCTCATTCTGACGGCACCCATTCACTGCAGAGGATTCATTGGTGAGCAAGTAATGAAGTAAAGTTAAATTTCTCCAAATCTGTTCTGATGAAGAAACAAACTCATCTACATCTTGAATGGCTTGAAGGGGAATACATTTTCAGTGAATTTTCATTTTTGGATGAACTATTCCTTTAAACTTGTGTTGCATGTAATACAATGCAATTATTTTCCCGTTTACTAACCCTAGATCTCCGTAAACAGTGTTGGTGGCAGCAGCGGCGGAGATGGCACCCACAATTCCTCCAATGACACCTGGCATAGCGTGCAGGTTATGGACACCACAGGTGTCCTGAATCTTCAGTTTCTCCTCCAAGAACGGCTGAGGAGTAGAGACAAATGAGTCGTTTATAACAAAAGAACATTTTTACTGTGACAATGTTCTTGATCAACTGAGTGTAGTTAAATCAATAATTAAAGAAACACAGATGGCATAAAAGGTCACAGTCTGGCTGGAGAAAAATCTGGAATAACTCATCTGACAGGCAAGACTCACCGAGAAATGATTATAGCCCATTGTGGATATGATGCCACAGAAGAAACCCACAATCAAAGAACCGTATGGCGACAGCATAAATTCAGCTGCTGTTCCTACAGCAACTCCACCTGCCAGTGTGGAATTCTGGATGTGAACCTGGACGAAAAAAAAACAAAAAAACAACAACAACAAAAAAAAAACACATAATTTGGCATTCATTCCATTTAAATGAAAAATGCAAAATTTAGTTCAAAATCGCATACATTTCCAAACAGGTTAAATGAGAAAGTGAAATGGTTGACCAATTAATTTCCATGACTTGCTCAGTCATTGCATTTGTTGGATAAAAGTCACAATAACAACAACAACTACAACAATAATCATAATAATAATAATAATAATAATAATAACAACAACGCAAAAATACAACAAATATATGAATATAACTAAATATATATTTGCATGACATTAACGTCACAAATGATTTCATTTTATTAATTTTTGCAAGTTTTCCAGGCTTGGAAATCACATTTTTAAAATAAACTCATATTTTCAGGGTTTTTTTCATGATCCTGTGAAAAATTAAATAAAATTAAAAATAAATAAAAATAATAAACAAAACACCACAACACAACACAAAAAAAAAAAAAAAAAACACAAAACACAACAACAACACAAAACAAAACAAAAGACAAAAAAATAAAATAAAATAAAATAAAATAATATATATATTTTTTCTTTCTGTTATCTGATAGAATCTTGCGATTTGGTGAATCTGGTCTGCTAAAAAAAAAAAATGGCAGATGCTTACCATGTCTAGTTTCCCTGTTTTCTCAAACAGGCTAGATATGGCGACTGTAGTGAGGACGGTGGAGGCCAAGGCCAGGTATGTGTTGATGGCAGCTCTGTGCTGACCGTCTCCATGATCAGCAATGGCAGAGTTGAAACTTGGCCAGAACATCCACAGAAAGAGGGTACCTGCACAGGACACCAGGTTGTAAAATGCAAACAATATCTGAGCCTTCAATTAATTTTTGCATTAGAGTCCATCTGTGTATTTGCTAAGAAAGCTTTTGCACAGAATGTCCAGCAGTCCAATAACAAAATATTTTGCAAGCAAACTGTCTAACATTTGTAACAAGATTAATGGGCTTACCAATCATGGCGAACACATCTGAGTGGTAGACAGACCCGTTCAAATGGTTGCTCTTATCCAAACTAGGCCGATACAAAACCCATGAAATGGACAGACCATAATAAGCTCCAAAAGTGTGGATCACCATGGATCCGCCGGCATCTTTGGCCTAACAGGGATTGAATCATTGAACAAAGGTTAGCATGAAGCCATTTGATGTCATTCATTTGAACTCAAAATACATTTTGTGGCTTTTATGTTATGTCAATGAGACACTAACGTACACTACAGGTCAAAGTCTGGGGTCTTTGGGGATTTTCATGCATTTATGTGATCAAAAATACAGAATACTACAATCAAAAATATTTTATGAAATATACTTATTATTGTGGACAAAGCAACATTTTCAGCATCATTACTCCAGTCTTCAGTGTCACATGATCCTTCAGAAATCATTCTAACATGCTGATTTGATGATGAAGAAACATTTCTTATTATTATTATCAATGTTGAAAACAGTTGTACAGCTTAATATTTTGGGAAACTATGATACATATTTTTCAAGACTGTTTCAGAAACCATTCGAATATGCTGATTTCATGCTCAAGAAACATTTCTTATTATTATCAATGTTGAAAACAGTTGTGCCGATTAATATTTTTGGGAAACCATGATACATATTTTTCAAGATTCTTTGATGAAAAGAAATTTCAAAAGTAGAGTATTTATTTGAATAGAAATCTTTTGTAATAATATATTACTTTACGATCACTTTTGATTAATTGAATGCCTCCTTGCTTAATAAAAAAATTAATTGGTCAGTAATTGGTTAGTGTATGAAAACACATTTGTACTAATAATTATAGGTATTTTGGTAAAATAAATAAATTAAATAAATATGATTAATCAAAACAAAGTGTCATTGTACTAAAGCAAACTTATCTTCTGCAATATATATATATATCATATATATATATATATATATATATACACAAACACACACATACATACACTTTTTTATTTTATCATTATATATTATTTGTTATTTTATTCTATATTTATTTTATAGTATTTTATAATACATTTCAGTTAACTTTACTGAAATGAACACATCTGTCTTTGGGAAACAGCATGAAATTTGGTGAATGCGTCAAGAATTATATTAAAACATTTCTTCAACATCTTAAGTGCATGTTAACTTTGACAGATCTAAAAAATACAAAGCAAACCAGTGATCGGACCCACATGGAGGACGTTCAGGATGATGTACTCTTCAACGGCGAACAGCGTGATACCAAACAGCGTCATCACCAACAGCTGAACAGGACTGACCTTCCCTAGAACAGCTCCGTAGGCGATCAGACACCCCGCCACACAGAAATCTGCATTGATCAAGCTGAACACAGAGGAAACGTTTAAATCAACTCACCAGTTAACATTTGCACCATTCGCTTCAGCCCTGAATTTGTGTTCCATTTAATTCGGTCTCATTTTTTAGTATCATGTACTTCATAGAAAGTAGCAAACAGTATAAAAGTGCCGATTACAAAATAAACAGGGTTGCCCGCATTCGCACAGTAAGATCATTCACATTCGTGTTTGTCAGGCTGTTTTTCCAATTACTGTTTACATGCAAAACAAATCCTTCATTCCCACAGGGAAGTGATACCTGAGGTAAACAACAAACTGGTTTGTCTGCAAGTTATCAACACTAGGTTCACATCCAAAAACTGCTTATTTTCTGCATTAAACCACAAACAAATGAGCAAATCAGCTAAATTTGGTGGAGGGAATCATCTCGGAGTACAACTTTTTAATCTGGTTTTAACTAAAACTGTGGCCCGTTTTTTTGGCAGCTGTAATATCTCAGTAATATACTTTTCTACACCGATCTTGATCTTTCCGTCGGTGTAGTCCAGAGAATGGAACCAGCCTTGCATCAGAAGAGCCCACTGGATGCCGAAAGCCGCAATCAGGAAGTTGAATCCCATGGCACCAAAGCTGTAGCGCTTCAGGAAGGTCATGAGAAAGCCAAAGCCCACGAAGATCATGACATGAACATCCTGAAAACCTGCAGAAAGATGAAAAAATATATAGTCAATCAAAACCATAGTGAGGATTATAAGAAATCAGTCTAATAGAAAGATGTGTTGTCAAGGATGTAAACAAACAAATACTGAAATACTGGGTTTTGAAAAGCTTTACGATGCAAAGAACCCACAAACATGATTATTCCCTTCTTACCGTAAATCATAGAGGCAGCTATATTGCACATATACTAATATATATTTATACACACACACTACTGTTCAAAAGTTGGGGGTCGGTAAGGTTTTTGAAAGAAGTCTCTTACGCTCACCAGTGCTGTTCAAAAATACAGTAAAAACACTAATCAGTTTTCAATTTCAATATATTTTAAAATGGAATGTATTTCTGTCATTACTCCAGTCTTCAGTGTCACATGATCTTTCAAAAACCATGCCAATATGCTGATTTGCCGATTATCATTTTTGTTGATTAATTTTATTTATTGTTTTTTTTTTTTATACAATGACAACTTTCAGGATTTTTCAGGATTCTAAAAAAAACAAAACAACCCAAAAAAAGCATTTATTTGAAATTGCAATCTTCTATAACATTATAACAGCAAGTTTCGATAAATTTAATGTGCCTTTTCTGTCAAAAACAAACAAACAACAAAAAACAACTGACTCCAAACTGAATAGTAGTTCTGAATAGCACTTCACATCCATTTTTAGAAAGCAGAATAAATATTAACCAATTCTTTTTTAATTTTTTTATGTGACTTACATATTTTATTAATATATTAAGTGCACATTTTAACTTTGACAGCCCTAAAAATACCTAACCATTTTTTAAGTTCTCACATTTTTCACAGACCCCTTAGCACTCCCTTGCGGGTCCCGGACCCCATTTTTTAAACTGATGCTTTAGACAAGAGGATGACGATACAATCTGAAATAAATGAATGACTCTCAATGTACATTTACAACCAATATCCAGTTGCATCACCATGACTAAGGACAAAAGTGTGTTTTACCAAGTCACAAACTGTAATCTGAGCCTTTTGGTGGCATAACTGAGGTCAAAGGAGCAGTGAACTTGAAAAAAAAAAAAACTGTAGCAGAGCTGAAAAGCAACCACACGTCAGCTTCCCAGAACAGGACGGGGTTGGGCTGGTTATTGTGAAGATGTTCTAGGTTTTCTTCCATTGTAGAAATGCACAACACCAACACAAGGACATCTAGGTGCTGATGGCACCACAAAACAAATGACAACAGACAGAGCTGTGCTTTCTGAACAAGCCCTTATTTGCACAGAGAAACAGAGCCGACTGGCCTTGTTTAGTATGAAAGCTCTTCCAGAAACTGACTGCACTTTGTCATCCTTTCGATCCGGCCTGGCATGATGCTTCACCTTGAAATGCTTCTCAACCGAAGATGCAGGAGCTACAAAACTCCAGGTCAAAAAAACAATTAAATCTCCCACTGTAACAACTGCCTGGATCAGTTACAAGTCTTACTAAGTTGCCTGGACTGTATTTATACACAAAGAACATTTTCTGTGGGAAGTAACTCGAGTTAATTCGGACATAGCAGGTGTGATATATTTGTTTTCAGGCACATTAAGTGATATCAAATCTCACATTGCAAACGAACACTGCTTTTGACTTATATAAAGCATGTCATCCTTCACTCTTGTGTTTAAGCTAAGCACTCCATCCCGTCCTTGCACTATCAGGGAATATTTTCATAATTGACACCTTGAGTCTGGTCTACAAGTGAACCGCAAGAAGATGAACTCCTCCAGGAGACTTCTGCAGCCAGCCATAGTCCCACCTCAACCATGACAAAATGCATTCAATGACATCTGATCTGTCCGCAAACAATAGTTTGTGTCCGAGTTCATGCACCACATGTCATCCAACACTTGCAACGTCGATAGTTGTATAACAGAGGATCGTCTGAGCAGAAGACTGAAGATCTACAGGATACATGACTGAAGAATTCAACCACACCTTCGAAGATTCAAAAGATGACAATGGATACTGATCTTTACATAAGCAAAGAGTAAATAAACCCCCTACCTCCCCTTGTGCCACCTGTCACAAAAGAACATTTGTGGTAAAATGACAGTCCCATGTGCATAAGGAGGTATGCAGGTTCTCAAATGTAGCAAAGTGATAAACGTCAATACCACAGCCAACAGATAGTGGTGCATTATTGGACTTTTATGTATGCATGTGTATATATACACACACATGTATAAGAGCTGTCAGTTTAACGTGTTAACTTAATTAGTTATGAAAAAATAACGCGATTAAAATATTTGAATGCAGTTAATGCAATGGCCCCGCCCCCAGACCTGTACATCATCTTACATTTCATACAGTTGACTGTTGACAAATATGATGCAGGGCAACAACTTCATAAATGCAGTTATGCCCTAAAATTCAAGATATTGGGGCAAAAATGCTCCTGTATGAGTTTTTGTCTCATTTATATCCCATGATAAGCGATATCACACGAGCAGCGAGAGCAATATCAGTCCTCAGTCGAGTGCCGTTTGTCCCAAATAGCACGAGTGCAAATGTGATTTTACACAACAGTTCGGTAAATAAGAAGTTAATATTGTTATATTTTAAACAATATTGTCTGTTTTTGCAACAACAAAAAATTGACCTAAAGCCACAGCAGAACTGTTGTGTATCTGCGAGCAACACAGCGGTGTTTAGTTTCTGAATGAATCTGCGTTTTGAACTAATCGGGTGAACCAATGATTCAAAGGCCCATTCATGAATCAGGTTGATTTGTACTCGACGCGTCCGCAAGTTCGCTTGGGTGTGCGCGGCAAATATGATGTCATCATCGCGGTGTTGGTGGAAGTTCGCTTTGAGTGCGCGAGACCTCGCGTGGCGGTGTGCACGGCATTTTTTGTAGCTTTCCGTGCAGCTCTGCTTCTGAAGATGCACGAGTTCAAGGCGACTCTGGCCGAACAGGCACATCTGTGTGAAACAGAAAAACAGTTTGATGTGAAGTTCAAACTCCATCAGGTGCTTTTTGACGCTTTGAGGGAAAACCATGCAGTTTTTTTTGCATAGTTTGTCCAAGACTTTTTAAATTGAAGTATGTTTTATTTTTATTGTATAAAAATAGAATTAATTTAGATATCATTTATACACTATTTGCTTAAAGTTGTCTTATGTATGATGCGAAATAAACCCAAAAGTTTAAGATTATTTTAATCCGTTCGTAAGACATTATTAATTCATCAACTCAAAGCAACCTTCCAACACAAATGACTTCTTCTCACCAGTGATTCCCGATGGTTTTAGAGCACAATTACTCCACGTCGCCTGATCGGCCCTGCCCCAAATGGCACCCTAAACCCTCGCTGTCTTCCTTGGCATAGACATATAAATACCTAGACTCCTCATCGGCCGCTCGACCGCACGTCAACGTCGCCGCCATATTGGTGAAGGCAACTCTCCTATCGGGACAGGCGAAAACATACCGGACTCGTCGGCAGCTTGGGCATCTACAAACCGTCGCACAATAATAAAAACAGATCTCGGGGTATTATCTTTCACAGGTAAGACTGAACAGTTCTATCTGCCATGCGCCTTGTGCTGCTTTATATATTTTTTTACATTGTACCTTATTTGTATAATTGTATAGTTGTATTTTATATTCAATCTGTATCTATCTGTATTTATGTTCTACTGTTAGTGTTATCTGTATGCACCAAGGGTCTGAGAGTAACGCAATTTCAATTCTCTGTGTGTATGTGCTGTAC